AGAGAGAGAGAGAGAATGAGAACTGTGAGAAGAAATGGGAGAGAAGGCAGAGAAGCCTCTTCAGAGAAATCCCTTGAAGAGCCTTTAGAGAAATTTCCCAAAACAAAATAGATACGTGATTTATATAACCTTTCAGGGAGTGGCAGTAAGTCTCACATAATGTGATTTCATTCAACATAGCATACCTGTCAAGGAACATGAAAGAGCCAAATACTGCTAGGACCATTAGGAGCTGTCAGTCATAGCATACAACAGCTTCTTTAACTGTACTTCAGAGAGGAGATGCAGGGGTACGTATCCTGGTTTCTTCAGGCTGTGGGATCTGGCCTCTTAAGAGTGACCATTTTATAGCCAGGCATGATGGTCCACGCCTTTAATCCCAGCACTTGGGAGGCAGAGGCAGGAGGATCTTTGTGAATTCAAGGCCAGCCTGGTCTACTTAGCAAGTTCTAGGCCAGCTGGGGGTACAGGGGGACCCTGTATCAAAAAAACCAAAAAAAAAGGGACCCCTGTCTTTTTTTTTTTTTTTCATGCAGGGGTCAACTTTAAATATTTTATTTATTATTTTTATTTATTTATTTTTTATGTGTATGAGTGTATTGCCTGCATGTATGTGAGCGCACCCATGTCGTGCAATGCCATGGAGGTCAGAAGAGGACTTCGGATTCCCCTGGAACTGGAGTTAAGGACGGTTCATGGCAGCCATGTGGGTTCTGGGAATCGAACCCAGGTCCTCTGCAAGAGCAGTCAGTGCCCTTAACCACTGAGCCAACTCAGACCCATGTGGGGGGGGGGGTCAACTTTAATACTGGGGTTGACCTGTTTGGGGTTAAGGAAGAGATGACCTTCTTTCCTGTTAGGCTCTGAAGGTGTATAAGACCCTGTGCTCCTCACAGACCCAAGGACCCAAGATTGTCCTCTATCAAACATGCACAGGGCACAGAGAAGTCATTTCCAGCTCTGCATCTCCTGCTCCAGCTGTTGGTGACTGGGCTCACAGCTTGGACTGTCCAGGATCACCATGGGCACACTGTAAAAGGAAGCTGGCTGGAACAGGATCTTGCCACCACCTTCAGGACGCAGTTCCTCAGTGAATGTACTCACAAGTGAGGAAGAATGAAGTCCATCCAGAAAGCAAGGCCCCGGTCTATCTGCACCACACTCAAGAGGTTCGCATAGAAGGTGCTGAAGAGGCACCAAGAGGTTTGGAAAATGTCCTGGGATTTCTGCCACTAGGCTACAGGGAAACTGAGGGATGTCAAGATGCCAGGAAGGGTAAGGACCTCTTAATTGAAGCCCCCATCAGCTCACATGAGCAGCAGTGAAGTGAGAAGGAAGCATAGGGACCCCAAGGTCTGACCAAATCCCCACAGCAGAGCGCAGTCAGGCGGAGCTCAGTGAGCAAAGAGAAGAGCACCAAGAGTGTTGGGCTGCAGCTGTGTGGGCACCACAGCCTGAATGGACCTGGCTGAGGGTTTCAATATGGCCATTTAATCCAGAGATGAGAGCAAGACAGTGGTTCCTTCAGACTACACTGTAAGGGAAACACTGCGTCAGCATCCTGATGAGAGGGGCCTATGTGAGCCGCTGGTCCAGCTGTCAGCACTTGTCTGCACTGTCTGGCTTGGCTTGTCAGGCCTCTTGGGAGCCTTCAGGGCCACCACACAGCCAAACACTTTGTGGGCCAGTCCTCGGGGAATCCCAGCAAGTCCCAGGAGAGGTCAGGGTATGAGGCTGCCACCAGCTCTGCCTGCCTGGGTCTGGCCTTGACAGAGGCTTTCTCTGGGTTTACTTCAGGAAGTGGCTTTGAAGGAACCTCTGGTAGCTCAATTTGATCCTGAGTGATTGCGTTCAGTTCCTCTAAGATGGCATCCTTGTCCTCCTGAGTGAATCTTCCTGCCAGCAGCTCATCTATTTACCACTGGTACTCCACAGCCTCCTGGGTCTCGTCCAGGATCCTCTCCACCTCTTCTATGGACATCACCTGGTACATCTTGTTTAGATACTCATTCCCCTCCTGCAGCCCCTCCAGCACCTTCATCTCAATCTAGGTGAACTCGATGCTCTGAACCATGGCCTCCGGGTTGCAGATCTGGTTCTCCATTTGGTCCAACAGCTGCTCCCAGTAACGCTTCTTCTTGAGCAGCAGTTTGGCCTGTTCTTTCCTGCCATCCCACAAGAGCTGCCTGGCCAGAGCCCACTCCCTCTCCAGTTGCTGTGTGACCCTCTTCTGGTATTGCCCCAGTTTGTCCTGCTGCTGTTTCAATTTCAGGATGGCCCTGTCCTGCTCAGTGACCCGGCTCGCTTCTTGTGGCCGAGCAGGTTGCCCACCGCAGCCCCTGGTCTTCTGCAAGAACAACCAGGAACCGGGAGCCCGTTGCCGCCACCCACAGCCTCCAGACTTGAGTGACCAATGTCTTAAAGACATTGTTTGTTCTAACAGACAGAACAAAGAAAACTGTAAACTAATTTCCATGCAGCCACTATGGAAATCAGTGTGGAGTATCTTCAAAAAAACTGAAAACAGAACCCAGCTATGCCACTCTTGGGTATATAACACAAAAAACTCTAAGTCAAGATACCAAAGAGATTCACAATAGCTGAGAAATGGAACCAGCCTAGATATCCACCAACAGGTGACGGATCAACAAAATGTGGTACATAACACAATGGAATTTTATGTAGCTGTTAAAAAAAAATGAAATCATGACATTTTCAGGCAAATGGATGCAACTCAAAGTTATAGTATTAAGCAAGCAAAACAAGACAGATTCAGGAAAACAAATAGAACATTTTCTTTTATATGTGAAATCTAAGTTTAAATTTTTTTGAGGCTGGAGAGCTGGATTAGTGGTTAAGAGCACTTACTGCTCCTGCAGAGGACCCAGGTTCTGTTCCAAACACCAACATGGCAGCTCACAACCACCTGCAACTCCAGTTCCAGGGGAAGTCAATGCTTATAAGCACCAGACACCCACATGGTGTACATACATACAGGCGAAACACTCATAAACATAAAGAGTAAAACTAAGAAAATATTTTTAAAATGTATATGTGTGGGGCTAGAGAGATGGCTCAGCGAGTGGTTAAGAACACTGGCTATTCTTGCAGAAGACCGGGATTCAAATCCCAGCACCAACATGGCAGCTAACAACTGTCTGTAACTCCATTTCCAGGGTATCCAACAGCCTCTTCTGTCCTCCGAGTGTATTGCAGGACACAGGTGCACCTACATAGAGGCAGGCAATATACTCATACACATAAAATAAAAACAATATATTTTTTAAATTTCTATGTGTGTATAATAAAAAAAGAAAAGAAGCTATATATAATACCAGCTCTTGGGGAGCAGAGGCAGGCAGATCTGTGAGTTTGAGGCCAGCCTGGGCTACACAGTGAGAACCAGTCCCAAAAGAAATAGAAGGCAGGGAGGGAGGAAAGGAGGGAAAAGAAGAGAAAGAAACTACAAAGACAGAAATGTTACTCTAAAATAAAAACAATGGCAAAATATTGTATCACTTAGGTTTCAGTGTTTGAAACACTGCAAACAGTAATCTGAGTTGAGATATACTATCAAGTTTAGAAAGCAGGATTTGTATTATATGCTACCATCTCTGTGTGTGCTCATGCATACATACTCACATATCTGTGTGTGTTTACAGGAGAAGGAAGATTTTGATATACACAAGCTTTCTAGTTATGTATCTACAGGTTTCTAAAACAATATGTAAGTGGTCTGTGGGGGCCTGAGGCCAAGGACAGGGCAAGATGGCGCATAGAGGAAATGGCCGGGGCGTGACCAGACTGGCCCGGGCATGACCAGACTTGTTTTGAAGAATCGCTGATTGGCTCCTGCCATTTCCGTGTATCTTGGCAGCATGTGATCACTTCCTGAACGCTATGCTGTAATACGGAGAGGACACTGCATGCTCAAGTTGACCTTTAGCATGACTGGACACTTGGTTGGGGAGGGGATTTTCCTTCGTCGTTTTTGCCTTCATAAGCCCAGTAATGCCTGCAATAAACGAGTTCATGCTTGACTGGCTCCCTGTCGCGTCTGATTGTCTCCCAGGGAGGCTGCGGGTAACGGGAGGCTCACCTCCCTTTCCCTGGCTCCTGTGTCGGGGCAGGACCCCCGACAGTGGTCCTTTAAGAAATGAGACCAAGGCACAGGAGTGGAAAAATTGTAATGCTGTTCAATTTGAATTTTTGCCATGTACATCATTAAGAAGAAATTGTAAAGGTCTGAGTTTAAGGGCTGGCAAGATGGCTCAAGTGGGTAAAGTCACTTGACACCAAGCCTAATGATCTGAGGTCAACCTCTAGGGCTCAATGGTGAGAGGAAAGGAAAGTGACTACCACAACTTGTCCTCTGACCTCTGTGCACATTTGTGGTACATATGTACCCCCCTATAAAATCAACTGCAATAAAAAATTAAATATATGTATCTGAGTTCTAAAAGTGCCCTAAGAGGCAACTTTAGAACACAGTATTTAATTTCTCTGAGCCTTGGTTTCTTAAACTGAATATTACTTTTTCAGTATGGTACAGATAAAAATATTCTGAAAGAATTGAAATCAATTAACATAATACAAAAGCATTTCAATATTTCTCTCTTCTTTTTGAGACAAGGTCTCCCTATAGCCCCAGCCTGGAACTCATCATGTAGACCAGGACTGTGGGTCTCTCTTCAGCCTTGAACTGACAGAGATCCACCTGCCTCTGCTTCCTGAATGCTGGGACTAAGGCATGTACTATCACACCTGACCTCTCTTTTTTAAGAAAGAGTCTCATGTAGCCCAGGCTGGCCTGGTTTATTCAGTACTGAGAATTAAGCTTAGAGCTTCGTATTACTAGTCAAGCTCTCTACCAACAGAGCTACATTCCCAACCCTACTTCTCTTTTATATATTAAGTGTGGGAGGTAGGGAAATAGATGCTAGTATAATTTATAAAGTTCCTTTCTCATGAAACTTCATTTAAATGAATGGAAAACCTACCGGTTCCATGGAATGTTGTGCCAACAACACGGACACAGCTTGGTACTCGAAGATCCCAGAACCTAACGGTCTTGTCTTGGGAACCAGATGCAATCATCCAGCCACTCCAGGTATAAAGTGCTAAAATATGTCCTGTAAAAGATCATATACTCAGTTACTGCTGTGGGAAAGGACCATCCCACAACATATCTAAAAGTAAGTTCTCATCACTGGGCAAGTAATGGTTTCATTAATCAAATACATTATATCAGAGATTTTTATATAATAACAAATAGATTGACAATTTTTAAAAAAGTCAGTAAAACATAGAACATCAAAACCATATTGAAAAAATTCAATCATTTTGGTGACTCCATTAGACAAATAAGCTCTTTCTGTATTTCAAGGTATCATTAATTAGTACAGACAAAACTTTGTCACTTGAAATAATGGCAATTTTTTCATGAAGGAAACACAGGCAAAATTATTTTGTGGAGTAAGATTACGAGCTCTGAAAGAAACAGATCTGGAATCATATCTTAGTTCTGTCACTAGCCCTTAAATATTGGGCAAGCCCTTTTATCCTTTTGGTGTCATTTTCTTCATGAATAAATAGGGATGAGGGGCTGCTCAGCGGTTAAGAGCACTGACTGCTTTTGCAGAGGACCAGGGTTCGATTCCCAGCACCCACATGGCAGCTATGAACTGTCCTTAACTCCAGGTCCAGAGGAATCTGAAGCCCTCTTCTGACCCCTGTGGCATTGCATGACTCGGGTACACTCAACATACATGCGGACAATACACTCGTATACATAAAATTTAAAAAATAGTTAAAAAAAAAATAGGGCTGGGCATGGTAGCAAACACCTTTAATCCCAGCACTCAGGAGGCAGAGGCAGGCAGATCTCTGTGAGTTCAAGGCCAGCCTGGTCTACATAGTGAGTTCCAGGACAGCGGGGGCTATAGGGAGACCCTGTCTCAAAAAGACCAAAAAAACTTTTTAAAAAATAGGGATGAAACTCCCTACACCATCTAATGGTTGTGAGGAGAAAGTAAAGGAATTTTGTGATGAGTAATGACTTAGCTCATATTATAGGGAAATATCAATGCCACTTATTATTACTCTGATATCCAAAATGCACAAATTAAATTTTTGAAATAGAAATTTCTTGTTTTGAAAAGATTCATGATAGCTGGGCATGGAAGCACATGCCTTTAGTTCCAGCACTCAGGAGGTAGAGGCAGGCAGATCTCTGTGAGTTCAAGGCCAGCCTAGACTACATAGCAAGTTCCAGGTCAGCTGGGGCTACAGAGAGACCCTATCTCAAAAACACCAAAAAAAAAAAAAAAAAAAAAAGATCCATTATGATGAAATATATCCTACTAATGAAAACACAGAAAGAGGAGACAGGATAAGTTGAGCAAAAGGAAAACAGCACACAAGAGTGATTATTACATACCAGTGTGTCCACTCAAAGCATGAAGACCCTGTCCTCTTTGACAATCTGTGGTATAAATGTTACAGTCCCCTGCTCCAGCACTTATTAAAATTGCTCCACCACTTTCTGGGCCTTCCATAAATGCCAAATCTCTAATTGTCCCATCATGCATGCTAAATTCCAGATCCGGTCCTGAAACAGCAATAAGAATTTAAAAAAAAAGATGCTGCTCAACTTACTGTGTTAACAAGATTGCTAAACTGCCTAAGAACTGTGCAAGAATGATAGTATGGTGGTGTTAGAACAGAAAAGAACCAAAACCAAGTATAACAACACAGATGTAGAATGTCATTATGCATACTCTGTATGCTAACCTAAAAAGTTAATTTAAAAAATAGTGCAGTAATATGGTTTATATTTTTATTTAGGGATTAATCAACTCACTTTATTGAACGCAAAACTTCAAGAAATCAACATTCATTCAATTCAATTCAGAGTTGATTCAGTTATTACCTACCATCCCTAAAAGAGAACTACATATAGTTACCTCCTATCTCTTATTGCAAACAAAGAGGGACAGATACACTCTTGAAAATATCTATTGATACAATTCTAGTAGCTATTTAAAAGTTTGTGTGTTTATGTTGCTGAGGATGCAACCCAAGGCCGTATGCATGCTAGGCAAATACTCTACCACTCAGCTACATCCCAAGTCCTTAAAAGTTCTGGAGTTGTTTTGTTTTGTTTCAGACAGGGTCTCTCTGTAGTCCCAGCTGGCCTAGAACTTGCTGTGTAGACCAGGCTAGCCTCCATCTCAGAGAGATCTACTTGCCTCTGCCTCCCAAGTACTGGGATTAAAGACAAGCACCACCACACCTGGCTCTTAAAAGTTATGTATGGTGGTTTGGGATGTTCTGTGTGATAGACACACAAAAAAAAAATCAACAAATTTTTAAAAAACTGAATTATATTTGAGGAAGAAGCATAAAATTTATGTCATGTTAATTAGTAGAGGTGATAAACATTATCATTGAAATCTACCCGATGACTTTATAGACACACACAGGTGCCAAAGATCTGAGCACAACTGATAATGACTAGTAATAATCAGATACATACAGATTGGAGACACATGCACCAACATCTCAGTGTTATTAGCCAAAACAATGCATCTTTCTGTAAGAAACAGTATATTTTAAAATGAAATGGAGATCTTTTTTAAAGGTTAAAAACTCATTCAATTTTATGTCTCACAGGGTTTATACTGAGTTCAATATTGTATATCTGTATTAATTCAACTGTGAACCTAGAAACTTGCACCCACT